TTACACACTGGACCTTTAATAGTTGGTGGCCACTGAAGACCGTCAGTTTAATGCATAAAACGTTAACATGCAACAAATATTGTGCAGAGAATATTTAAATGTACAATTTGCACAATTTGAAGAATCTAGTGATATACAGTAATTGATATTTTTAACTAAACTTTCATACCAAATATATTTCTATCTACTAACCACTGTATTGTGCATATATACTGAAGGCTTTCTGTCCTTATGTATGAAGTAAGCGTATATTTTTTTACTGTTGTTTTAGACATTCCTATTTTGCTGCTATCTCAGCTGAAGTTTTAAGTTTTCAAGTTTCAAATTGGATAAAAAGCTCAAAGAATAGCGTCAGGATGCGCAAGGTGTTTATGGAATACATTCATTTGCTATGAATGTGAATGTTTTAATCTGTTGTGATCAGATGTGTTCAATCATGTGACAATTGCATAAAATCAAGTAACCACTGAACAACAGGTTTAACAATTGCAGTGATGTAGTTAAAGTATTTAACATATTTGACATGCACCCAGTGTCTTATTTTCTAAATCAAAACAATGTTATATAACCGCATAATGTCTAGTTACTCAATTAAAAATGATCCCCAAATGTGGTATCTCTTGTTTGAGATAGTAGGTGAGCAGCTAGTTCCGTGTTATGTGAAGTCTCCCACAATCATTTCCATTAATGGTTTACTGACTCTTGTAATGTCTTACTTGAAAAGGGGACATTTTCTTTCCTGAATTGTTGCTTCTCTGTGCCACACATTCTGGCAAAAAACAACAACAATCTCATCCATTGGATGAAACATTTTGCAACAATTGAGCAATTTTTCAGAAATCTAAGCCATTGGCCTAAGCTTCCTTGAATTTACTACTTTAGATAGAGTGATAGCTTGCAGAGAAACAAACAGTACAAACTGCCAGTTGAAGTACTATATGCCTAGTGTATTCTTCCTTGAGTAAAGCAACACTGGTTTTGACTGTTGATGGAAATGTTTTGATACCTGAGTCTAAAATGGAGGTCTTAACTGCAACGGACAAAGTCCTCAAATAATTTGGCCCACGAGCAGTATTAAATGAAAACAATGAAAACCATAACTGGTTGGTTATATTTGTTATGCCTTTAATTCATATACCAAATACACAGTAAAGCATCAAAATTCAGATTTAAAGTATATGAAAGAAATAGCAGAGGAGTTTACAAACCTTCCTAGTCTCTGTCTGCGCTCTCTAAATGTAATTACAGTAAACTAACAACAATGCAGAGTACACCGAGATTAGGTTTCTGCAGCGAATGTGAGCGTGGGTGTTGTAGGTGACCTTGAGTTTTAATCCAAACTGTTATTTGATAGTGCCCCTTGGCCTACAGGTGCAGCTGTTTCCAAATGACCTCCATCCCGAGTAAACAGAAAAAGAGAAAGTGCAAAGTCTCAAAATCTGACATTTTCTTTCCAGGAGAAAGAACATTGTGTATTTGGTTGGTGACATTCGCAGGAGACTGGGTACATTTATTGTCACTGTTAAGCTGTATGCAGGAGTGTGTGTGAATGATAAGGTTTTTGAATCATATATTAAATCATATGTGAATCAAACTTTCAACCATATTTTTGATATGATGTCCTTTAGCAGACTGCAGACTATTTCATGTGTTTTCCATCCTATGTGTTCATTTCAGTATTGTGTCATGTTTAATTGGAGTCTTTCACTGTATGCGAGGACAACTGCAGATCCATTTCAGTGCTTCTGCTAACGTTTCCTTTGTACAGTTATCGTCTTCCTTTCTGGCAACGTCTTTTATCTTTAGTTGTGACATTGTGGAAAAAGCTAGTTCATTTAAAGACGCTAATTCTGGACTTTTATTAGAACTGAATCATCCACTGCAGAAAGTTCCTCTTGTAAAATAAATCAAAGTCATTGTGGTAGCTATTTGAAGGCTAGTTAATCTAATCTAAGTTCCACATTTAAACAAAAAACAAAAAAATATAAATGTACAAACTGTTTGGAAGTTTATTGAAAAAAGTCCCTGCTTGGTTTTTGACACAGAGATGTTATGTGTACCAGCGTCTGTTTGCCCAGTTTCCATTTCTTTGAAAACACTACTGAAATAAAATTGCTTCCTTTGAAGTGTTAAATCGTTTTAAGCGAGAGGCTCGAAGTGTTATTATTTTCATTCTGGTCTTTTGTGTATTTTCTTCCACAGTAAAGTACATTCACTTTGTCATAACTTTACAATTTAAGCGTCCTTGAGTCATAGTGAATATTTTGAATACAAAAAAAATTATTTCCATCAAGACATGACAAACATGCAAAAGCTAACATTTGTTTTCTGGAACTTAGCAATTAAACAGATGTTAACATACAGTATACATGGTAAAAAGTAAGCTAAAACTATACAGCACAATCCCCACAGTTTCACAGCAGAAACTACATGTCAGTAGAACGTTTTCTAAACCGTGGTAAATACCAGATTCGGGGTTAATAAACTTAATTGTGTTGGTCACAGAGTGTTTCTATTTTTGCCAGGCTCAGACGAGCTCTCACAAATAAACCTTTCATTGCTTCAGACTGCTGACGTCTCTGGTACAACTTTCATGTTTATTCTTAACTGGCAGCGTAGGCCAACACGCAAGTCAACAGGCGCATCCTGTCAAAACAACACTTTTTTGAACATATCACATGACTGGGAGTACATGAGGGGCTAATTAAGCGTTCGAGACAACTCCTGAAAGAAGAAGAAAAAAAAAACTAAAACTCAACAGCTAAAATTCAAGACTTTTACTAAGGTGGAGCTTGGAAATACAAAAATATAAGCCAAACTAGCATTAAACTGGTGTAGTGGTTTGACAAATCAGTATGGTATTGGCCTTAGAATAAACACAGAATGGAGTTCTTCCCAGACAAAACAAGTATCCAATAAAATATACTTGTGTTGCACATTTCTTTTTATTTTTTTATTTAGTGTTTATTCATATGCGGGTTTCAGAAGTGAGTGACATTATTAAACAATCATAAGTCTTCATCTTTCTTAAGGATAACTTGGATAAACCCTGAACAGTTTTGTTTCCGGGCATGTGAATGATCCAATTATACAAATCTATTGATTATAGGCACAAAATACTGGCAGCTTCAATCAAATCCACAAATATCTATATCAACCTATACTGGTTTAATACTAACCCAAATACACTATACAAGTATAATTATTACATTATTTTGAATGAATAAAGGCATTCAAGTTATCAGCTTCAGTGTTAATGCTTTGAAACTGTTGCTAACTGTAACTAGGAATTAATTTAAAGCACATTATGGGGCTCACTTCTTACAGCATTTGTAAGAATATCACCAATACATTCATTGAAATAAAAAGCAACGTTTTTTTTACTACCACTACGCGACTACAGTCTAACCTCAAAACGTATATTTCCAGTGCAGAAACAGGGCTGGTGTTCTTTGAGTTTACAAAGTGAGTTTACCATAGGCTGAGTCTGTGTAAACATTCTTATGTGAACAGCTGGTACACTCCTTCTTTATCCTCACAGAAGCCAAATACGACTCATCGTGCTTCCGCTCCTTCTTTCTCAATGTACCCTAACTTTATCACATGGCAGTTGTGGTTGATTTTTGCTTATGGATGACCTGTTTTACTGTGAACACCGGTTAAGGTGCTTCATAAGAAGCTATAAAAAAAGCATAAAATGTTCTCTATCAGAAGAAAATGTCTTATCACAAGTTGAAACATCACATACACTCTATTAAAAGATCCTAATCAAAAGGGTTCACCATCAAGAGAACGGTTAACTAACAGTTTTTCTTTTATCATCCTTCTCCCTGATTATTAAGTGCTTCCATCTTGTGGCCCAATGAGTGACTCACAGGAGCCATTAATTCAACAGCTCTTCAAGCTGTTGACATGCTGGGTAAATTACAACACATTATTAATGGAGCCCTCTCATATCATAAACTAGGACTATTCATTCATGTCATCTTGTGATTAATTTAGAAAAGGCAATTTTGTGTTCTGCAGCCTTAATCCATAACTTAACTGTGACAGGTTGAAATCGTCTGTTCGAGGAAAATAAGTGGCCGACAGATGGACATGATAGGATCTCTGTGAACAGTTGGGTTACACCAGCTACACAAAAAACGGGTCTCATTATTTTAGAGGTTGCCATAGAAATCTTGTTAAAAGGTTCACACCAGTGTAACAAGTCACTGAAATAGCTCAAAATAGAAAAAGTTCATTCCAATTACTGAAAATAAGTTAATTCAAGTTTCATAAAAGTACGGTAACAAGAAAACGTTTTATACAGGGTCTGCTTAGTGGTTTCCATGGAGATCTCTAAATTCAGCTTTCATTCAATTTGCTCGGGAGCTCCTTCTGTGGTCTCCCCTCTACGTCGCAGGTCCCAGTGTGAAGCCGGAGCGCCCCCTGTCTGTGCAATGTGCTCAGGGTCCTGAACTCCAGAGGCATGGTGTGAGGGCTCGAGCTGGACGTGTACTCATACTTTAAAGTATCGTAGTAGTGGTATTTGACCGGTTTGCCCTGTGGGTCGAGCGAGAAGGGCCAGAAGCCGTAAAGGTGGATCTCTTCACAGAAGCGAGTGGCCATCGTGTACATGAGGAGCCCGGTGGTTGGACGCTTGATGTGGACATTGTTGGTTAGCCAATACCTGTTGACAAAGACATACAGTATGTGATTAACTGCATCCAGTAACTCAATAACTTGTCATCATCATAGAAATACAGCAAAAGGAAGGATAAGTTCAAGGTCTCTGGAGCTCTCCCCCCCTCTGATGCTGCAGCACACAGAGAGGAGCTGAATCCTTACTCTGTCGTGGACCACCACATTGCCCCTTCAAGAGCTGTCTGCTCACAGATAATCAATAAGTAACATTTCCTTTACTTCTTCTATTTGCTTAGTGGATGAACTACAAGATAACTCCCTTGTAACAAGTCATTTAGTCGAATAGTCCAAAATCTTGTTCTTTAACTCATGTTGAAGCAACTATTTGATTCTATTTTGCTAGAAAAATTCATTGTTTAGGTCATTTATTGAAGCAATAACACGAAATATTCTCTGGTTCTGCTGCTTATATCTGTTTTATATCACTGTAAAATAAACATGTTTAGTTTTTGTAGATGTAGATGCCACTTAAGACTGAAATCTGAAACTCTTGAAGGCTGAATGTTAGATAAAATTTTACTTTTATTGCAGCAGACTTAGAACAAAACTACACAGCACACACTGCTTTCTTCTGTTTTAGGTGACCCAGGAGCTCCTATGACAGTGAGATACCACACGCTGCCCACAGGAGCAGCTTCAAGGGCAGGAGGACTGACGTTCACTTGTCCCAACTTCATTTTCCTTTCCAGTCAGTAGCCCATTTCTCCAGCCTCTGGGCCAGCACCGCCTCCTCCGGCTGTGCACTCTGTGGTTAGTGTGGAAGGTCGTGTTGAGATGCAGAGGTTGTACTATTTAAAGCAGTTCGTGTGCCGTGAAGGGCAAACGGCGGGCAGGAGTCCAACCAAACACTACGGCAGATGATAAGCATTTTAACAAGCAGAGAAGGTGGTCTAATTATCAGTGAAATGGTCTGATGTGGCATTTGGTTAGAGTGAATATGAGCACATACTTTGTCCTCTACTGCACCTGATGGGGATTTAAGGCTCAGACTTACTGAGAAAAGGACAATTTCAGGGGGATCATTTATCAGACACCACTATAAAAAGAAAAAAGGCATATGTGTTTCATCTTCAAGAAAGTATCAGGTTAATTCTTCTCTTGTAAAACACAGATCTTATAGACTGTTAACTACATGGCTCACTTCTACTCCTTTGCAATACCAAGTGTTAGTTGGGGCATACAAAATGGCATAATTTGGTCCCTGACCAGTGGCTTCTAACAATGCAGGAAAGATCCAGAACAGATACTGGTTGTGATGAGAGAGAGAGAGAGGCAAGGACAGAAAAAAAAAATTAAAATTCAGAGGATTTTATAAAAGCCTGAAGGCAGTGGAGGCTGTACTTGACAGATTTGCAAAAAAGATTCTTGACCAGCTCTAAAATAAATCAACACGAGCAATAAGGATTAAGTCAAAAAATAAACTGTTATACCAAAGCTTAACAGCCTTTCTTATTATCTGTTCTATTCCTGTGCCACTGCCCCAGCTTGTCAACAACAGTGTCTAAATAACACAATTTGGAGCGAACAGATAAGCAATACTTAATTTAAGTCACACGGAAAATTTATCACTTCATGAATGAATGTTTTCCTTGGAAAGCATTTTCAATTCATGCGCTTATTTGCTTTTAGAGTGAGATAAGAGGAGCACTACCATAAACAACAGTTCATCCATCCACTCAACACTTACACGCAGCGTCTCTGCTGGTCGCCTGGCAACCTCACCGTGATGACAAGACTTGCCGGGAAGTCACTGCACCCGGCTCTTAATAGAAATAGTCCAAGCATGTAAGTCCCCGTAGAAGCACAAATTGTTGTTTTTAGTCACGCTGGCTTCAAGGAAACGGGAAGGAAATATCAGTCGGTCTGTCGGTTGGTCAGTCCACCACTTTGGTCCAACAGCAGCAGGATTAGACTGGCTGTACTTAGTACTAATTTGCAAATGTTAGAATGTCAATACTCTAAAATAAAAATGGTGAATGTATCTGCTAAATGTCAGGATGGTATATAGTCATTATAAGCATTTTAGCATGCTGATGTTGGATTATGCCTCACAAAGCTGCAAGCATGGTTGTAGACTCTGGGTCTTGTTACATTTTCTGCAAAACGCACAAGTCAGTCTCTAAATTCTTCGCTTAGAAGAGATTAAGGACATTCTCAAAGCTTTTGTTGCCAAAACTGGTTGGAAAGAATTACTGAGTTTCTAAAAAAAAAAACTGCATTTCAGAACCAGTCCAAAGTCCTTAGAGTGGTGACCTTCTTAAAAACACTGTCATACCATAGTGTTTCAATGTTTTTAAAAGCTCTCTCAAAGTGATATTACAAATGTATTTGCTATATATCCAGTTTGTTCAATTACAGAGGAGAATGGGGGGGAAGCATTGTTTCAGGTATTTCAGGTAAGGCCTTGAAATAAGAGGCGTGTGTTTATTAGAGGCCATTCTCGCCACCATACATACAATAACCTTGCATTCAGAGATCCCCAGACAGATCGTCCGGTGTCACACATTTCTGCTTGTGTGCAGATTAAACAAAGATACAATGTGATCATTAGTGAGCTTTAGAGGTGTTGCTTGGCATATTTTTCAACTCCGAACAGAGCCGGGCTAGCTTTTGATTCCAGCCTTTGTGCTAAGCTAATCACCTCCTGGCTCCCGCTTCTTACTTAATACACAAACAGAGAGTAGGATCAATGTTCTCATCTAACTCTCTGCAACAAAGCCAAGAAGCAGATTTCCCAAAACATTTGTTTACTACTTGTTCAAACATAAAATAGACGGATAAAATAGACAGAAAACACCCAGAGACAAATTTCACGCTTAATCAAAACAGATTTGGTGAGACGTGTCGAGGTGTCGAGGTGCACCCTGAGTGAATTGAGATCAGAGTGGTGTTCTCACACTGACTGCCCCTGGTGATCAGCTTTAATGCTCTGTTTAAAAATAGCCACCTGGGCTGCAGATTAGAGTTTGCCAACCCCTTGATTATGCTGCTCACAGGTGTTCTTATGAGACGCAGCGCACCAGGAGCAGCAGCTGCGAGCCTGAGCTGCATCTTACCCTCTGACAGCGTGGAGAAGGCGCAGCGAGGGGAAGGCGGTGCGTACGTCCACGGTGTGCAGCAGGATGAGACGAAGGGCCCACTCCACGCGTTCCTCTCCCCCCTTGGCCATGAAGGCTGGGATCCACAGCACGCTGCCGCTGAGGCTTTGGAGCCGCTGCAAGAAGCGATCCCTCCACTCTTCGTTGACCAAGTCCTGGAAGGCCCGCTGCACCACTGAAGGGTTCATGGTCACCAAGTTGGTCCGCCATCCCACGTCGCGATAGTATTCCTCCACTGGTGCCAGGTTACACCTTAGGACAAAACGTGCACAGGGTGTTCAGTTTCAAATGTGGGATTATAAACATTAAACCAACACGGCTTGAAACCAGTTTAACAAAGGTTTTTGGAGGGGACAGATCCATCATATAGTTAACAACAAGTTTTCCTTTCCCTTTTTAGATTTAGTGATGGATAGCATTTCTCACATTTTCCTTTTTATTGGCACACACAAGCTGAGTAAGGCAGAATCCAAAATGTCTCTGCATGCAGTGGACTGCAGTTAATAGTTTGATTTAAAGTTTTAAGAAAAAAAAAAGTGAGTGCTTGGCTGACTTTCACTTTCATTTTTTTCTCCTGAAAGGTTTCAAGAAACATAAAGACAGCGAGCAGAGCCTGTTCCTGTATTTGTTTAGTTAAACCTATGACATGTTCAGATGGGAGACAAATGAAAGCGGAAAACCTGCATAAATCAGTGGAAAAAAAATTATGCAAATGCTTCCATACAAGACATGAGAGGTGAGAATTTAGTTGAAAGTCCTTAAAGTGAGCCTGAATGATGATCTGCACCAGCATTATAGTGGTAAGTCTTTAACTACAGACATATACCTAAAAAAAAGTAACTATGTTTTGTTAAATTGAGTTGTACCAATAACTGGACTATATACCAAAGAGCACTGAAGCAGCACTGGCAGCTCAGGGTGGCCCAGTACTTTACTTTTAGACACATTTATTTTGTTTTTTTCTTAAATTTATCACCCATCTGTCTATATCCTCAAGCTAGTCAAACCACATTCTCTGCAGAATCATCTTCTTTTTTTTTTTTAACCAGAAGTGAAATAGAGCAGAAATACAAGTGAAATTCAGCAGAAAAGCAGAGGATGGCATTTTGTTAATTGATGTTAGCCTCAGCCTTTAAATAAATACCAGAAAACACAAAAGCTGGTAATTATCTTCATGGTGAAGGATCTCAGTGAAACACACACGCAGTGTGCTTGTTTTTAATAACTTTAGATTCTCTAATTAACACACACACACCATGTAACTTTCCAAATGTGTTTTTCTACGGTTTGTTTAGTGTAATAAGCGAAAGAAAGCTTAATCCTTCGGTTTATCTGAAAAATTCGGATTCACTAAATTTGAAGATGCATGTTGTGTTGTTTTTACAGCTGAATGCATGTAATATTTGAACCTGTTTCCTAAAGCAAGTACATTAGGTGTCATAGTATATTGACAGCAACCAAACAGAAAATGTGACAAATGTGCACCATCTACTAGCTCTAATTTTTTAAAGTTCCAATAAATTGCTTGTGTGCCAAATTTGCCATTATACTAATATAACACTGAGCTGAAATCGTCCACAACTACCACCCCAGACACTGTCAACATACTCGGTGGAAACCAGGCGATCTATATTTAGCCGAGACATTATCTCCCTATCTGATACGTGAATGCCAGAGCAAATTCCTCAGCTTCTCAAAATGCCACATTCCATGTCGTCTGCCTTCAGCCAAACCATTACCGCCGTGCCCCGACGTTATTATCATGCAGCCGGAGTATAGAAATCATGACCTCTGCCTCATCAGCATAACATCGCACCACTTAAAAAGACAAGACGCGCAGACAACAGAATCAATTTCAGAATAAAAAAAAGGGACATTGAGGCCCATTCAGCTATCGATCAATGAGCTCAATGAGGTGCTACCACAGCTACAGCTACTTCCTGCTCCATTTCTACAACAACATTAAAGTCATTGATTTATGAGAGGACGTTTCTCACAGTAGATACCTCAACATTTAGTCTGTTTTGTTAGATTGTTCCTAGCTGCACACAGAATCCCAACCAAAATGTTATTTTTTTTTGCATCTTAATAATATAACTGGAGACAGATTTATTTTCCTCCAGTGACAAGTATGAATAGTGATAAATAACCCACTCAGCGACTCCTTTGCTTAAACCCAAACACAAAACAGAGCGGGCTGATGGCTTCACAAACAGAATTCTCCGGTAAATGAGAGCAGGACCCCTGAGAGCATCGGTGTTTCCCTGACAAGCACAATATGTTTCTGTTGGATGCAAAAGCTTTTTTTTAAAATGTCAATTAAATGTATAATCATGCATTTAATTGCTCTCAGTCTGGCAGTTGGTTTCCAACTTTAAATCATTAAAAAGCTCTGACAGCTTTTTCAAAAGTGCAATTAATATATTTCCAGCTGTGTGAGCACAGACTCTAAACCTGAATTAAAAGTAAGAACTTGAGAAAGTGAATGAATTATACTCTCAGTAAAGTGAGATAAACCTAAAACTGAAACTAATGTGCTAATCCATTTCAATTACGACCCACTTTAACTTGCATGTTTTATGATTTATTTCGAGGGGAAGACTTCCAGCACGGAAATCACTTGTGCCATTTCTGTGGAAAAAAATAAATACCTGATAACAAAGTCGTGAGAGTCAATCTCGGGTCCACAGCTGCTGTTCAGCAGGATCCCAGAGTTTCCCACAATGGCACAGCGCCTGTGATGTTGATTCTTCATGGGGGATGCAGTTGGCAAAAGACGGTAGAGATTTTCTGAGATGTTTGTGGTACTGTGGCGATCAAAAACATAGTGGATGATATCTCCCCGCTTGACTGTGCCCTTGAGAATAGAGATGTCTCTCTCCGGATCAAGAAATCTCAGAATATTCTTCCTGTAAAAAAAACAAGAGGAAATACACACTGGTTATGAAAGACTCTTTGTTTAGTTGAGTGATTAGAGATAATGTGGAGAGTGATGAGCCTGCCTGATGAGGTTGGAGAGGGTCTTGTTGAAGGTCCAGTTGTTTGAAGAGAGCTTGGCAGTGTTATTGTAGTTTGGACTTGGACGATTTACATCTTTGTTCAATCTGGTCAGAGTCGTCGGGTCCGCGTGTGCTGCAGCCTGTCTGAAAGGGAATAGAAAGTCATGTTATTGACACACAAGTTCATCCTTAACGTTATGATCAATAAGACACTGTCCATGTATTGTGTGAACTCCATCTCCCTTCTTGTCTCACAGTTTCTCCTAAATGAACCATGTGTCGTGTTCAGATTGTAAAGCCATCTGATTCTGGGTTATATAAACAGTGGGCGAATGTAACTAAGTGCATTTACTTAAATATAAACATTGGGTAGTTGTTCCTAAATAACAAAAGTTTTACTATTTTATGCTACTTTATACTTCTACTCCACTACATTTCTGGGTTTGAAATATTGCACTTTTACTGCACTGTTTCATATCTTTAATTACTGATTACATTGTACAGTAAGATTTTGCATACAAAGACCAACTTAACATCAACTATCAGCATTTTTTTTTTACCAGTATCAATTACAAAGTAGTAGTAGTTGTACACATGAATGCATCAGTAACAGTAATTTAATAACAAAATATATAATATTATAAACACTCATGGAGGCCATTTTCCTCATAATGAGCACTTTTGATACTTTAAATACATTTTAGCGACAATACTTATGTACCTTGAATTAAAGGACCAGTGTGTCGGATTTAGTAGTCTCTAGTGGTACGGTTGCAGATTGCAACTCTATAGCTTTACCATCCAAGCACAAAGGGAGAAACTACGTTGGCCAAATGTGCGAAAAACGTGAATGGACCTAGTTTTTGTTTTGTCCGTTCTGGGTTACTGTAGAAACATGGCGGTTCAACATGACAGCGTCCACTGAGAGTGGCCGCGGCGTCTGTAGATAAAAATGGCTCACTCTAGGATAATGAGAACATAAAGATTGTTATTCTTATTATATAAAAAAATACCCTCAAATGTGAATATTATATTCCATTTCTGCAAATAGCTCCTCCTAAATGTTACACACTGGACTTCAACTCTTAATGGAGAATTTTTATATAGAGGCATTGCTACATTTACTTAAGTAAAGCATCTGAATACTTCATTCACCACTGTGTACAAAATTGACTTCTCTTGACTTGGCTCGAATGAGCCTTAGAGTAATTCAATAATAATAACGCAATAAAAGCGGTGCTATTTGAAATACAGCATTTTTTTATGTTTAATTCAGCTTTATTTTTTACGGCAGATGTTTTCATTAAAACATGGATACGACTAGATTGATGTGTATTTATAGCGGCTGTCTTCTTGCTGTAAAAAGTAATGAGACACACTGTGAATGACTCACTGTGTGTGTTATCACGGCTGCTAAGGAATCAAATGACCAGTGAAAATCATATAGAACTACCAGTGAGCTCCACACTGGTCGTCTACAGCTGTATGTATATGCATATAAATGTGTGTGTGGGTGAGGAAATAATTGGATTTCAGACCTGTGTGGTTTAGGGAGGAGCTGGTGCAGGTTCATCTTCTTTGAATGTCCATTATTTCTAGACAAAAAAAACCCCCAAACAATTTAGATTGGATTATGAATCACATACTGCAGCCTGGAATCTTGGTTGATAATGGACGGATGCTTTGAACCTTTCCTGTAATCATATCAGGTAACAATAATGCACCCACTGTATTCAATACCAGGCGTACTGTACATCTGTCTTTTAAGACAGAATGAAGGTGAAAAGCGCATCATGGTATTTTTAGAGCAATCCACTGTGGGCCCATTTGCTGATGTAATGAGGAGAAATGTGGCCTTAATGGAGCCCCATTATACTGAAAGGAGGTATTCTTTTCACTGGGGTGTTGAATACGCCAGCTAAGATGCATTTACAGTAAACACATTGTGCATTCAGGTTTTTGAGCATCAGTCTATTTTGCAATCATGACCTTGGTCAGATCTGATAAAATCGTGACAAGCTGGCAGCAGCTGTGTAAATGAAGCAGTTTCGAAAACTGAAACAGCAGAGCGCTGCTCTGACAGACAGGTGGGCTGTTCGCACTTGTTTTACAATCCTGCTGGCTTTAAATATATAATTGTATTAAGCTGCATTTATGCACAAGTGGAATTGGTTCTGGTTCCTCTCCCACGGCAAATCACAAGCCAATATGACCTCATTACGATGTGAGCCACAGCCGGGTAATTGCATTCAAAACAAAACGTTCTTGCTGAAAGGGAAATGTGAGAATCCAAAAGCTTCACAGAGAAAACAAAAAAAAGTCATTTTTTGCTGTTCAGGTAATCTCTGTATCTGTATCTTTACAGCTGTGATGAGCAGTGATGAGAGGAGAGCAGGATGTTGCACTGTGGAGCTCTGGTTGGTTTTACATGTGACAGCAGTATTTTGAGGCTAAAATAAGGATGTATTATTTTTCTTGCAGGTCAAATGCAAGTGGGGCATGTGTGTGTGTGTGTGAGAGAGAGAGAGAGAGGGGGACTTGGAAGATTTCTGCTGCACTGCTCAACATTTCAAAGTGTTAAGATGAAAAAGAAAGAAAAGAGGAAAGCCTCTTTTGTTTCCAATCTATTGCCCCCACCTCCTCCTCCTCACTCTCTCCCCTGTTTGTCTCTGTCTCTCTCTCACACACACACACAGCACACACACAACATCTGCACTCTCCTCTGCTTGGTGTTACGCCTATCCCGCATGGCAGGCTCGGCTGCCAAGACAAATACCTAATCCTTGGAGGGACCCAGGCAGCTGCTGTCTTGAACAGCCTGACGCTGGCCACCCAATATACAAGCGTAGAAACAACCCCCCTCCCCCACACACACAGACAACCAATCTCCTGATATTCAGCAGTCCCAAACTGCAATTTCAATTCAATTCAAATCAAACAGCAGTTTATGTCCACTCCACGGTACTCTCTTTCCTTTTTCGCCCTCCTGCTCACCAATCGCAACTTAGACAGATTCACCCTGAAAAAAAAAAGAACGTGCTTGAGAAGACAATGGAGCAGGCCACTCAACAGGCACAGCACACATCGACACAGCAATCGACACCGCTTCTGCACGGACACATTTACTGGTGGGCTACTTACGCAGTGTTGCTTCTCCACTCGCGACGATGCATTGCACCTCTAGTGTCAGCACTCAGCAACCAGCAGGCGTTACAAACGCGAGCAGCAGGCAGCCGGTGCGATCACAAGCGCGATGGCTTGGAGGTGGTAGGGGGGGCTGCAGCGGGGTCCCTCCGATCACCAAGGACACTGGGGGTACGTTGAACTTTCTTGTGCTTTCCCATTTGCTAAGAATCCAAAAATGCCGCCTCAGTAATTCTCTTCCCATGTGCCTTATCGCCGGTTCGACAGAGCTTCGGGTCCTTTTTTTCTCTCTCTCTCTCTCTGCTCTTTTCTTCTTGCTCTCTCTCACCCCCGCCCAGACGCGGCAACCCCACCAAACCAACCTCCTCTCTGGTCAGCGGATGATGATTGCCGTGGGAGTGGTCTTTTCCCCCGGCCGGGCGATGGCTGTGCTGGCCTGTGTCCGCACTGTACCTCTGATTCCCCCATTCAAACTTGAGAAAGAAAGGGGGGGGGGCGTTTGCCGCCACGAGAGCCTCTGCGTGAGAGCCGCGAGGATGGGGAGACACATCATCCTCTTAAAAGGGCGCAGGGGACCACTGCGGCGTCTCCAGGCAAGCCAGCAGCCTAGTTTGGTGCCTGTCTCCAGGTGTGTGGCCCATCTTTGGGGGGGGGGGAGGAGGAGGCAACCGCGTGTGGAGGCAAGCCAGGTGGACGAGGCAATGAGTACAATCCAAAGCGCAGGATGTAGTTTTTTCTTTCTATCAAATGTGCGTACATTTAAAAAAAAAAAAAAAACAAAAAATGGGAGGTCCAAACCTTTCAAGAGAGCTTCATGTGGCCACCAATATACACCTGAGTGTCGCCCAGTAGACACCAAGACAATCCACTTAAGTTAATGGAACCATCTTT